GATCCATTTGTAAAATTAACTTTGCATGAAGGCGAAGATACCAAATATTGAACGATTTATTTATAGCTACTAAACTAAATTTTAACATTCGGAAGTTTAATCTCTCGAGTTTTACGTAGTCCCCTACTTTCTGCAATTTATTTTAAGATTTTATAATTTCTTCGAGTTTTTATCTTTTGCATATTTTTTATGTCAGTTGGTTCACAAAAAAAAATCAAATTTGTTAGACGCCTGATGGTCCTAAAATGAAAAATATTGTATATTTTTCATTGAATTATATAACATTAAATACATATTAATTTATTTTTATTGATTTGCAATAAATGTTATTATAATTAAATAAATTGAATAATTACATTATTTATTCTTCATTTACAACACAAATTCGTTTATTTGTTTTTTATTGCGTCTAATCGATTTAAAAACTTTGCTGACTGTTTATAAATACATTTAAACTCCTTGACAGTGCGGCGCATTTACAACACGAAACAATATTAAATGTTCAAGTGGAATTCCTCCTCCCATATTTTCTTGTAATTAATGGGTCCACGATTGTTAAACAGTAATCAGATTGAGTTCACTCGCAATGGTTGGAGCCTTTCGACTTATATCAGCGTCAAACTTTGAACATCGCACGGATCTTATCGCTAATTTTATGCTTTAAAATTCAAATTTTTTTCTTGAAAATTATAAGTAGATTTATTTTAAGATTATATTATTTCAATGTATTGTCAACTTTTTTTCATACATTTGCAGAAATGTGTGTTATTTAATATTTTTATTTTATTTTCTTAAAAATTAGTATATTGTCTTTTATAAAATAATCAAGAAAATTCTAAACGTCTCCATCATTTTTGATTACTATAATTTTAGTCAAATCAATGTTAATAATAATGCCATAATCTGTAATTTTATGTAATATTTTCATACACTTTATCAACAAATAATAATACTTATGTTTTGGATAATAACAAAATTCATAAGATTTGTCAGAATTTCCTATATCACCTGGATCCAACACCATAGTCAAATCGATCTGAGTGGATAGCAAAGACCAAAAGCGTTCCAAAACCCACAAATGTCAGCTGTGTGCATCCCAACACATATATTATATGGCGTTATTAGTGCGTTTGAAGGAAGAGATTGCTCGTTCACCAAGACAATGCACGGCGTTAGAGTCTATCTAAACGATGGCAAAAATGCACAAATTGCATTTGAATTCCTTTCCCATCCATCGTATTCTCCAGATCTGGCTCCCAGCGACTACTATCTGTAGTCTAGTTCTGTCTAGAAATAATGCTCAAGGGAAAGACATTTAGCTCCTATGAAGAAGTGATTGGCGAAACTGAAGCGTATGTATCGAAATGTTAGAGAAGTGTTGGAATGAATGTATCATTGTTGAAGAAGACTATGTTGATGAATAAAGTCGAATATTGCCCAAAGTTGTTATTTTATTAGTCATCCTACGAACTTATTGAGTGAGGTGATAGTTCTTTTGGTATTCAGTAATTTTGAAATAAAATACATACAAAAATAGGATTTCCTATTGTTCCGGTTTTGATATTCTCAAATTTGAAATTGCTATATATTAGTGTTTTCAACCTTAAAGTCGCTAGTCAAAAATGAATATTTGATATACTAATAATAAATAATTTTAATATAATTAAATAATCTTTTAAAAGTACATTTATTCTCATTATATATAGTTTAATATGGAGAAGAATTATTATCATTATTTATAATTTATTACATATATCATACAGTAATTAATTTTACTGCAAATATTTGGAATTTAATGGAACTATTTGGTATTAATAATTTAATAAATATTAATAAAATTTTGATATTAATGTTATTGTTAATATACCATAAAAGGACGGAAGTTATTTAATTAATTGTTGATGTATGATTTTTATAATAAAAATATGCATTTGTACTTATTTTCAGAAGAGACTAATATAATTATCTTTAATTTCTTACTTTCAGAGAAGTTAATTTTATTATGACTTGTTTTAATATAATTACAGTTGCATTTCAAATATTTTTCATATTAATAATATCCATTTAGTTTGAAATGTATACTTGTTGCCCTGGCTCAAGTTAACTAGCTAATAATTGGGATTATTGCATAATGCATAATGGGAGACCGAGAACTATGGCTAGTTAGCAGAGATTATAGTTACATCCATTAATTGATTTTAGCCAGCAGCAGCAACTGACTGAGTTAGGCCAGAATATTTTCTCATTAAGCCGAAACTGTTGTGAACGCGCGTAAGCGCTCGAATTAATAATAAATATTTGTTTAGTTACATTTGCACTCATGAAATTTAATTTTCAAATTCTAATTTGCGCTTCTGCCCGTTGTTATACGCTGCAAATTGTAATGAATGCACTTTAATTAAATCGTCGCCCGTCCTCTATCTATCTATCTATCTCTCTCTCTCATTCATTCATTCCACTTTTGTTGCAGATTAAGCAAGTACAATGTGCCGTAGCTGTTGCGACCTGTGGACCGTGGTTAGCACGTGAAGCGCCTGAAGAACCGAAGTATTAACAATAACCGATTGGTGATTGTGGGTGATTTTTGTTGGACGTCGTTCCGAAGTGCAATAGACGAAGGTGCGAAGGATTCGCGTGTGTGTTATTTTTCGTGTGATGCCAGCATCAACAATGTTCTCAAAATTCAAAAGCGGAAGCGGCGCTCAAAGCCCTTTGGATACGAATCCAATAGGCCAGCATTTCGAAATTGGAAAACAGGTTGCCAGCGCCGGACCGGAATTGGTATGGAGAATCCACGATGCGTATAGGAAAATGGATGGAAAGGTAAAATTTTCAAATTTACATTAATTTTATTGGTCTATTTACTTAGATCTATTGCTTCATATTTATTTCTACAATATATTTGTTTTGTTAAGGGTAATTTTAAAATTTATTTGTTAAACAAAACTTTTTCCAATAAAAGTTTCTAAAAAAATTTAAAATTTTAGTATTTATACCATGAATATATTCCAAAATATATTTCAGAATAGATAAACTAATTTTGAGTCAATAAAATTAACTGGTTTCCTAGAATGGACCAATTTTAGTTGGTTTAACTAAAACCGAAGTACTTTTTTGAACTTTTCAATAATTCTAGAATACATTGGGGGTCTAACCTAGAACAGTTCAAATTTATAAAACCGGTTTTTATAGGAAATGTATGTAATTTGAAAACCGTTTTTTTTTGAGCGCAGATTTAAAAAATAAAAATAAATAAATGTTAACACAAAATCGTGTCTGTTACGTGAATTGAAAGTAAGGTTTTTAGTTAATATACAAAATCCACAGAACGTTTAAACAAACACGTCTACCATGTTTCTTTCACTTCATTAAGTTTTTCGAGAAATAGTATCAAAATTGTATCTAAATTATTAAATAGAAAATAACTGCGACGATGAAAAAGCGGCGAAGAAGAAAAAAAATCATACGTTGCTTTGAAAAAAAAACAATTCATAAATATCTTCAAGAACCGGAAGATATGAATTTAAGGGTACACATTGAAGAACGAATAATTTGTTTCATTATTTAATGATTTAAAGACTATTAAACCCAGATTTTTAGCAAATGAGAGTTTTTTCTATTTCTGTAAATTTTGTATGTGAAATAGATCCATGTGAGCAACAGAAAATAAGTTGTAAAAATCACTTTTCTCTATTTTTTTGTGAAAATTCGAAAACCAGTCAATGACTGACAAAAGAAAATTCCTTAATAAAAAGTGACAAAAAGAATAATTTTTTGTATTTTAACGAAAGATCTTGAAATTGCTCTAAAATTGTTTTTTTTTTTTGAAAAAATATTGACCAGAGACAGTTCTGAAGTGGATTTGTTTATTTCCTGCGATCGAATATAAACCAGGAAAATATGTATGATTTGACAACGAATTTGCACACTCAATTAACATTAACAAATAACATCTTAATTGATCGTTTGGTTCTTTGGACGCAGCTCAAAATACACAATACCTTTGCAACAAATTTGTAGCATGATCATTTTTGATGTAATTCATCTTTCTATGTACAATCAAGATCGAAAGATGTTCATCACTATTGTATCATAATCGTTTTCAATTGAAAAAAGTAAAATGTGTCGAAAATGTTCGGTTTTGCATTCCTGTTAAAATTGATCCTAAACTAACAGCTGCTAATAAAATTACGCACAATTGGCTTGCAAAGGAAGCTAAAAGTTATATCTTCCCAATAGCAAAAGTAAAATTCGTAACATAGAAGTTTTTCAGAAAAAACATAACGCTAACGCAAAAACGTTTAAACATTATTAGTTACATTATTTTCCAAAGAAATGCAATGCACAATGAATGTACATAACGAAACTAAAACATCATCATAATTTTATTATACCGCATAAATTTAAATATAGGTCGAGTTTGAAATGAGATAAAAAAAATACTGAAATAGCCAATTATACTTTTTAGCGGTATTTCCGTCTTTTCGCCTCATATTAGTAGGTTGTTCCTATTGTTTAATGGATTGTATTTCAATTTTAGTATAAACTTAATTGTTAATGTTAATTTTTAATATAGTTAATTTTTCGATATATTTATTAAAATGTAATTAAAAAATCTGTTTTAAGAATATATTTTGTTAATATTTATTAATATTTAAACTAAGGATGTTAATGTTTAATTTTTTTATGTCATATAATTTTATTCACAATCTGTTCATCAATGTGAACATTGAGTTAAGATCGCGGTTGACATTAAATGGATAATCTTTCCTGGTGGATAGTTACCCTTTTGATGATTTGACCAGGATTGGAACCGTCGACGGTTCGATCGTGTGTAGGGCGACTTAACCATTTGGCTATTAGTCGCCCTGTTTAATTAAATGAATCTAAGAAACACTGTTAGTGTAAGTTACATAAATAATATTTATTGAAATAATTTAACATACATAAAATAATAAATTGTAATCATATAAAACTTAACCATAGGTTAATTAAATATGTTATAGTTATAAACATGTTTTAGATGATAGGAACTACTATTAACTGCTCTGCTGACCGCTGCAACAAGATTTCTTAATACTCTGACAAATAAATGCCATATTACTTTCGCAGTTTAAATCGTTGAGTAAATATACATTTCCAATATACCAGAAATGGATACAATCTTCATTAGAACCTGCATTATCGGGTTGCCCATTGTGCCAACGATTGGAAAATACTCTGCGACCATTGCTCATCCACTTAAATACTCCTTCAGTTCCCACATCATTGCCAGAAGTCCAGACGCTTACTTTATTAGTAGCAGTAACTTTACAGAAAAATAATATTAATAATAATATTTAAGAAATGTAACTTGATTTTACTCACGAGTGTTGATGAATTCGCGTATATAATCGAATTCTGCATCCGAATCAATACTTATCAATTCCATATTGTATTGCTTGCATGCTAAATAAGCATTATGCCAGTTCATCTTAAATTTAATAATAAATAAAATAAAAATAAGATATTTTTAAAGGAAATAATTACCTGATTATTAATTTCAAAATAGTACGTCTTGTTCCCGTAAGTTGTAATCACTGGTATATTAAGAGGTGTCTCAACGCAGACATCTGTATTCACATCAAGGACACCTAAAGCTAAACATTTATTGTATCAACTCAAAATGTATAAATAAACTTACTTAATTGGCAACAATTTGAGTATTCTAAATAAACAATAAACGAAATAAAAGTTGCTAATTTTGAACAAATCATTTTTGAACTGTGTGTGTATTAAGAAGTAGAGTTACTGACTGAATAACGAAAGACAAATGAGGCGTTTATTATTTATCTCTTTGGAATTCCCAACCGATAAGCGAGATACTAAAAATAATATATACTTAATGACTTATGTGTTCAAGAATATAAAACTCTCCAATTAAATTAATCTAAACTGATTACTGTTATTTATTATTGTAAAATATTATCCTTGACTTTGATCAGAAACAACATATAAAGCGTCACAATAAATTAAGCAACCCGTCTATTTCACATTGGTTCTTGGAAATTTTAAAACAATTATTACATTATTTAATTTTGTATACTGATGTAGAAACATATAATATTTAATTAAAAAATATCTATTGCATTTGAAGAAAATTGAAAACAAATACGTTTATTGAATTGTGAATGATTAATAGACTATTTGCTTATTACAGTAACATTTTACAATAGTAAAATTATTGATTCGTTATTTTTCGTATAGGATTCGAGATGGGTAATTGAATTTTAATTATTTTCCGATTAATCGGATTCGTTTTTGGTGAGGTTCAAAATCCGAAACATTGTCAACTAGTTACATGATGCAATCAAATTCTCCGATTCCATTCTGCCGCATTGCAGCTATCATTTCACTCTAGAATTAAACATTACGTTACATTGCGTTCATCCAAAGAGTCGAGTTTGTTGCATTTCAGTACATTTAAGTTTTACATTATTATTTTTGTTAAATTATTATAAAATAAATTTACTTAATTTTGTTGACACTTAATTGTTTCTATAATAATAATTCAAATTCTTGAGATTAACGAGAACAGGTTTTTAGCAACATTATTTATTCGCAGAGTGACAATTTATTGGTTTGGAAAGAAAGTAATATCGGTTTTATGCAATTCAGCTTTTGTTGTGGTTCACGCTTGAACCAAGATAATTTAAATGATTCATTTAAAAAGGACATTGCACATCCCAAATATTGATTTGTTGTTTTAATTGAATCTCTTATGAGCTGAAGACATTTTAAGTCAATTTGAATAAAATTGAAAACAAATACGTTTATTGAATTGTGAATGATTAATAGACTATTTGCTTATTACAGTAACATTTTACAATAGTAAAATTATTGATTCGTTATTTTTCGTATAGGATTCGAGATGGGTAATTGAATTTTAATTATTTTCCGATTAATCGAATTCGTTTTTGGTGAGGTTCAAAATCCGAAACATTGTCAACTAGTTACATGATGCAATCAAATTCTCCGATTCCATTCTGCCGCATTGTAGCTATCATTTCACTCTAGAATTAAACATTACATTACATTTCGTTCATCCAAAGAGTCGAGTTTGTTGCATTTCAGTACATTTAAGTTTTACATTATTATTTTTGTTAAATTATTATAAAATAAATTTACTTAATTTTGTTGACACTTAATTGTTTCTATAATAATAATTCAAATTCTTGAGATTAACGAGAACAGGTTTTTAGCAACATTATTTATTCGCAGAGTGACAATTTATTGGTTTGGAAAGAAAGTAATATCGGTTTTATGCAATTCAGCTTTTGTTGTGGTTCACGCTTGAACCAAGATAATTTAAATGATTCATTTAAAAAAGGACATTACACATCCCAAATATTGATTTGTTGTTTTAATTGAATCTCTTATGAGCTGAAGACATTTTAAGTTATATTCAATTATTGTGTGTGATACATTAAACTTTCCTATAATTTGCAAAGTTATATGATGATTTGGTCATCATCCACTAGGTCGACTTTGAATAAAAATTCCCAGAGCGGATTTTTTTAAACCAATTCTAATACGTATATTTTGTTATACAATCAACACCATACACTTTATATATCTCTTTGTGATCCCCAGCTGCTTCAATGCCTTTACGAAAATACAAAATTACAATATAACCAAAATGTTGGATTCTGCACTTGTTTATCTTAAATTTATACTTTTGTGATTTAAAAATCAAAATTTGACAGTAAACACAAAATGGTGTGAAGTGGGTTTCTAATAAGTAGAAACCGAAATTACTTTCTTGTCAATCAAATATATAATTTATTAAATGTATAAATATTGCAATATGTATGGTCTGTTGGTTTGAGTTTTTGAATCAGTTGTATTTTGTCCATATCTTTGATCGAATTCGTAAGGTACTTCTTGAAACGTCTAATTCTAATTTTGCTATGTTTTCGAGTGAATGTCCTCTAAGACTGAAGACAATGTTTTTCCATTACAACATTCAAAGTTAGACTAATTATAAAATACGCATTCTAAATACGAAGTTAATTATTGTGGTAGAATTGTATTATGCTTCTTATTACGAATCTGTACTCTGTTATTTATTTATACAGTGGCGGCTTGTGAGGCCTGGGCCCATTAATAAAAAAACAACTTATATTTCTTATTTATTTAAATATAGAGTTGTTTCTTTCTTTCCAGGAATTATTTTTCCATTTATTTATTTCGTTTTTTTTTTGTTTTTAGTTATATATTTGAAAGGTGCTGAATGTGCTACCAGTCATATAAATATAAACTTGACATTAGCGCGGATAAATACAATAATAATGGTAGTGAGATTTTGTTACTAAATTCAATGTTAGGGCGACTAATAGCGGAAAGTTTAAGTCGACCTACCCACGATTTCGTGGGCGCCGGTTCGTATCCTGGTCAAGTCAGGCCCTTTGTGAGCTCCCTCGGTGCTTGCAGCAATATGGCCATCGTTCATCACAGATGTACAGTCAAATGAATGAGATTTAGCATATGGACCTTCAGCCAAGTCGATATACAATGACAGTGTTAAGGATAGTAGTAGATTCACAGTCAAAGCAAATAGTGGAATCGCAGAGCATCGATTTACTACTGAAGTTAACCTACAGACGACAACAAAATTAAAAAAAAAACAAATCATCATAATGGTAACTATCCAACGGGAAAGATTATCCAATTAGTGTCAACAGCGATCTTAAATTTACTCAATGTTCACATTGACGAACAGATTGTGAATAAAATTATACGACATGAAAAAATCACTGTTAACTTTGGGAGACCTGGGTTAACACTATTTAAGGGCCCTTGACTAATACTGGTTGTGAGCCTTAGATTAACACTATTTGGAGGCCTTTTAGAACAAAAATTATTCAAAATTTGAGTTAGTTGTGTTGATTTTTGATATTTTGACTGTTCTTTTTAGACGCTCCTTGTATTTATTTATTTTGCGTTTTGTTCCGATATCTCGTATTTATTTATAACGATGCATACAGAGTCTATAAATACCAATTACAATGAACATCAGATTCATTCTTCTTTTTCTGTTATAATATACATATAGTTCAAAAATGGTTCACGTACCAAAAATATAATTTTTGTGTTTTAATGTTTATTTTATAATATTTAGTAAATAATTTAATTGTATCATAAATATTTAATATATATGTTTCTTTGCAGTTATAGTAGATGGAAATATAAATATTTGTTTACCAAAACGTGTAAATTTACCATTTTTTACAACATATGAAAATAAATTTTACTTCTTTGAATATCAGAAAAATGTAAGTATTTTCATTTTCTTTGGTCGTCGCCAATCTAAAAATTGTTTAACCCAGATTAAGTATTTAAATGATATTTGAATTTGTATAAATTTTTTATCAATTTATAATTGCAGATAAATTGGTATATTGCTTACAGAGATTGTAGGAAATACAATATGGAATTGATTACGCTCAAAGTTTGTGAGTATAAAGAAATTCATCATACTTGAAGATGATATTAATGTTATTTTTCTTAAAAGTAACTAAAAAATTGGAAATATGGACTTCTGGTACGGATTTAGGAGATCACAGGAAATTTTGGTGGATGTCTGATGGTCTCGAAATTACTGTTAATAAATGGAACTTGAATGAACCTAGTAATCAATATCTTGAGCATTGCGTATATTTATCCTATAATGAGCAGGAATATTCACTTATTGATGGATTTTGTGATGAGACCAGGGTTTATATCTGTCAAAGTGTCAATAACTTTTAGTATCAACAAGTTCACCTTACATTTCAAAATATGTTGTACAAAATATAAACCATTGATGTTAATCTAAATTAAGATATACCAGAAATATATTGTTACGACATAAATGATGATCTTGTACCATTAAACCTATTCACACTTCCAATACAGTCATACCTTAATAATTATTAATTTCAACGAAATTACTTCGTTAAGTGAAACTTAGTTTTCAGAGTTAAACATAATATTGTCGTGTCCCAGGGTTAAGAAATCCTTGGACACCGTGGATTATCTCGTAGTTATGTTGTTGCGGAGTCTTAGAGGGGTTTATGAATATTAAATGCAATATTTTTAATTTAGTTTTATTGTATACATCGGAGTTTTATTGAGAAGTCAACTAAACAATAGTTGATCTCATGTATTATTAACTAAGAGTTACATTCTGCTCTTAAGTTAGTGTTTACGAAGTAAGTGCTCTTCCTTGGAAGACCAACTTCTCAGTTCGGCCCCTTAGGTAAGACAGACTCTTAGTCTGCCCTCAGACTTTTAGACTCTCTTCCAGACTGACTTTGTATTACATAAACATCCTATTTTATAGTAGGGAATTAACATAGTGGGAGTACAATATTTGGAAGGGAAAGATAGTACCTAGCTTTCCCTAATTCGTAAGTCATTAGGCAGATGTACATATTAAAGGTCATTATAGATTGGACCTTCGAGTTTGTTCAAAACATGATGATTAAGAATACTCGTTACACAATGATTAGTTATGGGATTTTCCTAAGTGGTATTTGTTCTAAGTCTTAATGACTTACAAAAATAAACATGTATAAAATAATAAGGGCTAACATAATATAAACAAAACCGGTTATACATAACAATATGGCTATACGTTTCTAACAAAGAAAGGTTTTTTAAATCAGGCTTTTTTTCTCTTTAATTTTATAATTAGACAATTTTGCACTTAATGATAGGTGTTAACATAATTAAATTTGTGTGTTGCAATTAGTAGCTCTGCTCTTGCTGTTGCAATTCAAATCATTCAGTAAATACACATTGGAGAGATGCCAAAAATGGATGCAATCTTCGTTAGAACTCGCATTATCAGGTTGCCCTTTGTGACAACGGTTGGAAAATACTCTTCGACCATTGCTCATCCACTTAAATACTCCTTCAGTTCCCACATCATTGCCAGAAGTCCAGACGTGTACCTTTTTAGCTGTAGTGACTTTACACAAAGATAATTTTAATAATTATTGTTAGAAATATTAACTGATTATACTCACGGCTATTGATAAATTCACGTATATAATCAAAATCAGCATCAGAATCAATACTAATCAATTCCATATTGTATTGCTTACAAGCTAGATAAGCATTAGACCAGTTCATCTATAAATATTGAATAGATATAATCAAAATATGAAATTTGTAAACAAAATCATTACATCCAAATAAAATTGATAACAATGTGAATATTGTAAATATATAAGTAATGAAAAGAGTGATGTTAATGTTGAAGAAATCATCTTTGAACTCTGTGTGGTTACACTGAATGGTTAACGAAAACCAAATGAGTCTTATATATCATCTTCTTGGAATTTCCAAATACATTTATAGGGATGTACCGATTATTCGCGTACTATAATCTCTACCTTTCCCCATGATTTAAAAAAATGTTTACAAAATAAATTTTCCGATTACATTCATTTCTTTTGATTAACGTTATCTATAAATGCAAAATATTTACTTTAATTAAATCTCTAATAATTACAATATGTAGTGATTTTATACAAAGTTATTTTTATCCGTTTTCTAGAGAAAAATTCTAAAATAATATTAAATTTGATATAATTAAATATCTGTATAATAAAGCGCTTGTATGTCTTTTTAGTCTGTAGGATGTTTTAATAATGTATATTAACTTACTGCAGGTTATTTGGATAATTCTCCAATCTATTTTGAAACCTAGCACTAAATATTTATTTATGAATTACGTCATTTTTCACAAAGCACATAATCGTTTACAAGCTAAAAAAAATCAAAACTGATTCACGTCAAAAATTCACGTCTTAATTGAATAAAGCATGCAATTCAATATAGATGAAAAATAATACAACTATTTGTTTTTATGCTAACAATTCCATATTATATTGCAAGCCAAATACGCATTGTGCCAGTTTAGCTGCAATATAATAATCTTATATAAAACATAAAATATACAATATTTCTTTAATTTAAACTTACCTTTTTGTTGACTTCGAAGTAATAAATTTGTGACAACTGGTATGTTGAAGGATTTCTCATTACATACTTTCATGTTGACATCAAAAACGTCTATAGAAGAATCTTTGGATATTAAGTTTAAAACGTCTTACGTAATTCAGAATTAAAACCATCGAATCAAAAAGTTACGTCCAAAGGTAATGTTATTATTGAACGAATTATTTTAGATGTAAATTTATGCAACAGCCGTTAAATTTTTGTCATCTTTCGCAAAGTTTTTGATGACAGTAGTCTCAGATTAACAAACATTAAGTTCCAATATACTAAGAGAAACATCCCAAAATAACTAATGTTATGATTATTTCATAATTTAATGAATTATTAACAAAAATAAGCATCTGTTCTTAATAATACATATTTTAATATATTATTTTAGAAATAATTTTCGAACTGTGTGAGGTTATACTAAAGGAATCAAGTAAGTCTTATACATCATCTACTTGGAATTTCCAAACATTTTAATAGCGCGGCACTGATTATTTGCGTATTAAAAACTTTATCTTTTCCCATGCTTAAAAAAAGTGTTTACAAAATAAACTTTCCGATTACATTATTTTATTCTGAATATTAACTATAAATGTAAAATTACTTAAATTTAATCTCTAATAATTACAAAATGTAAATTAAAAAAAACTTAACTTATTACAAATTTCGTTAGAGGCTAAAAAAATGGTAACAAATTTAAATGTAAACTAAATTAAATATAAAATTTAATATCTTTAAAAAAAAACTCTTTTTGTTTGTAAAGCTTTACTTGAAGTGTCCTTTTATGTCTTCCTACTTAATAAAACTTTATAATAAAAAGTCATGTACGAATACTGACTAAATATTTTATATATTTTATATGTTATACGCAATTTTAATTAAACTTCGATAACATTAATTCAATATTAATTGCAAATGATACAGCTAAAAGATTTGACATATTTTATTCATTAATTTCTTATTACTTTCGTATTGAACCCTTGTTATTTGTTTATTATTTTAAAACGTTAAAGCATACACAATTTTTATAGATGTAAAGATGAGAGGTCATTCGATATAGTAAAAACTAATAACAAAAATAGGCAAGGGTTGCAGAGTAGTTGAGTTTGGGTTTCCTTGATGTAACCGGGTTCTCTAAAATATCTATAGAAATGATGAAGAACACATAGAGAGAGATGCATCACACCTACAAAGAACAGATATGATTCTTTTGAATCATGAAAAAATCAAAATTGGTATAATGACATTTTTTTAATAATTAATAAAATAAAAACGAACTACCTGTTCATAAAAAAAGAGACATTGCCCTACATATAGAAAAATATGAAAATTTTCTTGATACACGTAGAGTCCTGATACATTTACCCTAAAGAACACCAGAGAGGATTGGACGTAGCGATGTTGCTTTTGTTTTTGTTTGTCCTAAAAGTGCTCTCTATGAAATATGGTGCAGGTTGGCATTGAAGATGAGCGTTTAGGCCAGTAGTTGACATTTACCTCAGAACCTATGTAATAAATAGATCATAACAACCTGTTTCACCATAAATAAAGTTACAGTTAGTCTTGTATATTTTGTCGTGATATTAATATTTCCCCCTTTGGCTGCTTCATTTGCACATTATTCCCAAAGGTGATCATAGTATTTTTATCAAAGAAATCGAAGTCTTAATATTGTTAAATTTATTTCTCTAAAGTTCATAGCATTACATAAATACTTAATATAATCATCATTTTAAACACACGAATCTAAAAATACCACAATTATCAGTTAAATATTTAATAAAATAACTTAACTAACTAAATGATACAGTTCAGATCAAAGGTATAAAGACAATAATTGCTGTTAACATTGCCAGCTCCGCTGAACGCTACAAGGTTTCTTAATACTTTGACAAATGAATGCCATATTGCTAGCGCAGGTAGAATCATTAAGTAAATACACATTAGAAACATGCCAAAAATGAATACAATCTTCTAAACCACCATAATTATCGGGTTGGCCTTTGTGCCAACGATTGGAAAAGACTCTGCGACCATTACTCATCCACTTATATTCACCTTCAGTTCCCAAATCATTTCCAGAAGTCCAGAAGTTCAACTTTTGAGCAGTAGTTACTTTTCACAAAGATAATATTAATAATTATATTGAGAAACATTAAGCGAATTACTTACAACTATTGATAAATTCGCGTATATAATCGAATTCTGCATCCGAATCAATATTTATCAATTCCATGTTGTATTGTTTACAAGCTAAATAAGCATTATGCCAGTTTATCTAAAATTATTTAATATTTATTTAATAAAAAAAAATATTTCGGGTGGAAAGATAGATAGTTGGTGGAAAGACCTCAGATTGTTTCCAATAATTATATTTAAATATATTAAATTATTTTATTAAATAATTACCTGATTATTAACTTCCAAATAATAAGTCTTGTTACCGTACGTAGTTATAACTGGTATATTAAGTGGTGTCTTAACGCAAACATCCGTATTCTCCTCAACGACATCTAAATCTAAACAATGATTTTATGTATTCACTATATATAAATAAACTTACTTATTTCACAACAATGTGAATATTGTAAATAAACAATTAATGAAAATAATGTTGCTAATTTTGAGGGAATCATCTTCGAACTGTGCGAGGATAGACTGATATAAGAACGAAAACCAAATGAGTCTTATATATGCACGGAATTTCCAAATGATATTTATAGCCAGGTACCTGTGTTATATGCGTAGTTAAAATTGTATCTTTTCCCATGCGGGAAACAAATTAACTCTTCTATAAATACATCTATAATATATACAAAATGTATAAGTTTTACCTGTTTATACTTGACTTGAGTTATTAGGAAAATTAATTATGTCTCGAAAGATAAGCAACTACAATATTTATCTTTTAGAACATTCCAAGAGAGTTGTGATTTATATTATATTCGTTGAATTACTTAATTTAGAGTAATTATTATAACATTATTGCATTATAGCGACTAATTACATACAACTCAACAAAATAACACAATAAGAACTGGGAACTGCTTTATTTCACATGTTCCCTCTTCAATGAGATCTGATGGGAACGGTTGGAAAACGTTAACGAGTTGGACAACAAACCATTCAGCTCTGTCCTTACCTAACTATTAGAAAATTGATGGCATTCTTCGTTTTGGGTTGGAACTACAAAAAATACTGGATTGCACTACTGAAATATATATCTTAGCAACGATAACATCTCAACTCGAACGTCACAATAGAACGCTATTTTCTTTGATTTAAATTACAACCAAAACCTAATGAAATAGAGCGAATATAAAAATGCATATGTCTTCAAATTGATTATATGTATTTTTTAAATTTATCTATCGCAACATTGATGAACGAATTGGAAATGCATATGTTTGAAACCGCTTACGTGTTAATACAATTATAGGTGCCGTAAATTCACATTCAGAAGAGACATGTCGACCAATATTTCTGTCCTATTTTGTCGTGCAATCTCATTTTTCTGTCCTTCAAAAAAAATTGTTTGTTTCATTTGCTTAGTCGGTATTCCCAAAGGTGGTCATGGTATGATTTGGCAGTGAAATCGAAGTATTCATGTTGTTCTATTTATTTATCTAAAATTTATAGCATTATAGAACATTAACCCTTTTTGTACACTGTACCCAAGCAGGTACAGCAGTATTTATTGAATTTTCGGCAATCTAGTGAGAAGTAGCTAAAACTTATTGTTGTATATTTGTTTTAAATATATAGTATAAGGGGTATAATATATGTAGTATATAAGGTGGTATTATCAAAATAACTGAGAAGTACTTTTTATTTTCAAGTTGATAAAATCAATTATAACAAGAATATAGGAGAAGTTGATATAAGTAAATACTTATTGTTATTCATGGCAACAAATTGTGGTGGGTACTTTTTAACAGATGCTGGACTTAACTATGAAGAACTCAGGGAACAACTATTATCTGGCTAAAAAATAACTAAATTGAAGTTACAAGATACATTGTACGGCATTATATATTTGGATCAAATAAGACACGGCGCGGCCAATTTTTACTCTCTGAGGACTCACTCTAGGATCAGATCAGGTGGAAAAAAAGCAAACATACATATGCTATGTTACTTTTTTGTGTTTAGTTATTATAAATAAAGGGGTTTTTAAAATAAAATCATTGTTTGGACAAAACTGGGATAATAATTAATGTAATCATCATTTTTTAATACATGAATCTAAAAATACTTAAATTATCAGTTAATTATTTCACTAAATCTGATACGGTTCCAAGCATATTTCGGATCATATATATAAAGATAATAAAATTGCAGTGTTAACATTAATAGCTTCACTGAAAGCTACAAGGTTTCTTAATACTTTGGCAAATGAATGCCATATTGTGAGCACAGTTAGAATCGTTAAGTAAATACACATTGGAAACATGCCAAAAATGAATACAATCTTCTATACTACCAGCATTGTCCGGTTGCCCTTTGTGCCAACGGTTGGAAAAGACTCTGCGACCATTGCTCATCCATTTATATTCACCTTCAGTTCCCAAATCATTTCCAGAAGTCCAGACGTGAAACTTTTGAGCAGTAGTTCCTTTACACAAAGATAATATTAATAATAATGTTGAAAAACATTAAATGAATTACTTACTACTTTTGATAAATTCACGTATATAATCGAATTCTGCATCCGAATCAATACTTATCAATTCCATGTTGTATTGTTTACAAGCTAAATAAGCATTATGCCAGTTTACCTAAAATTATTTAATATTTCTTTAATAATTTAAAAAGAAAACTATATCGGCTGGCAAAACCTCATTCGATAGCCATTTGCTGAAGATTGTGTCAAATAATAATGTTTAATTAAATTATTTATAATTACCTGATTATTAACTTCCAAATAGTAAGTCTTGTTACCGTAGGTAGTTATAACTGGTATATTAAGTGGTGTATTAACGCAAACATCCGTATTTGCATCAACGACATCTAAATCTAAACATTTATTTTAAGTACTCAATAAATATAAATAAACTTACTTATTTCACAACAATGTGAATATTGTAAATAAATAATGAATGAAAAGACTGTTGCTAATTTTGATGGAATCATCTTCGAACTGTGCGAGGGTAGACTGATATAAGAACAAATACTAAATGAGTCTTATATATATGCACGGAATTTAGTAATGATATTTACCTGTTCGCGTACTTAAAATTTTACTTTGTCCCATGCGTCAAAAAAGTAAATAAACGTTACTATAAATAAATCTGTAATATATACACGAAAGATAAGCAACTCGTGTATTTTGGAAAATTCCAAGAGAGATGTGCTTTATATTATATATGCTGAATTTCTTAATTTAGAAAAAAAATAATAAACTATATTATGTTTTGTTTAAAAAAAACTAATTTTATATATATATATATTATATAATATTATTAATATTATTATATTCAGAGATCTTATAAAAACCTTAAAATATTTTTTTATTTTTTAGACTTGAATACAACATAATTAATAACTTGAGTGAAACTCAAATTCATAGTGTTTTTAGTTTATATCATAGAATTTACATTCAAATAAACGTAAATTAAAATTTATATACTAATACGTATTTTTTAATTAATTTATATAAGAAAACCCTTTTGGACTTCAATACTTAATTCGGTCTCAATTTACGGTAGTTCGGATTAACCGTGGTAGTGGCCATTTTAGTATTTACTTATTTTATAAGCTAAACAATAAAATTGTCTCTGCAAATCTGCCATTTAGAAAATAATTTTACAAGGAAAACATTAAAAAAAATACAAATTACCTAAAAATCTGTTTTTGTGTATCAACATATGAACATCTCCACTTCAAACTAATTATATTTGTTTCGATTTTCATATTATTTATTACTAAACCAAACTAACAAAGATTTAGGAGATCTTGGGGTTTAAACCTTTCTGGGCATCGATTTTCTCGTATGCATCAGCTCCATAGCTAGTTAATTTGGGTAGTCTTTCTTGACTAAACTGATGTCATTAGTTGTAGAGAACCATGTGCATTGGTAAGTTCCATTAGTGTTTCTGGTTGGAATCTCTGTGTGATCTAGATGCTCGAGTTCTAGGAAGATCCACAAAGTTGGATATCATTGGTCCATGGTCTTCTGTAAAACAAACCCTGTGCCATCTAGGAAAGCGGCGGAGCAGTATCTTTCCTACTACAGACTCTTGTTGATTTCTACTACTCCACAATACCATGCTGTTCACGAAAGTCGAACTTATTATCTGGTGTGACTTGGTTATCCAGCAACCAAAGTCTTAGTCGTCGCAGTAGTCGCTTTTTGAATAACTTGGACAGAAGGATAAACCTTCGTTGTAGATTACTTAGGACAAAGATGGGACTCACCAGTAATGTCGCTACGGTCGGTAAATCGGGCAAGTTCGCTTCGCCTCGCCAATCATGGGGACTCTGTTCATATTCTTGAAAATGTCACCCCTCCACTCTCACATAAAGTTTATGCCCGGGCCTCAAATTTCTTTATAATATGTATATAGTTGGCAAATATTAATATCTTGTGAAAACCCCTTACAAAAGGACTGCAGGATATGAACAAAAGACATTAAATAATAAATAAAATATAAAAACAAATAATTACATTCATAATTTTAAAAACATCCACTATTGTTAAATACAGTAAATTCTTTGTGCAATTGTTAAATGTTGACAAAAAAAGCACACTCTAGAATTTAAAAATTAATGTGCACAATTGTTCAATTGCCAGTTAACTATTATAATAAATATGATATAGCTATAGACATGTTTCAGATAAAAGAAATTTATATTACAAGATTTTTGTGTTAACATCAACAGCTCTGCTGACAGCTACAAGAGGGTTTCTTTATGCTTTGACAAATTAATGGCATATCGTAAAAGCAGTTGGAATCATTAAGTAAATATATATTGTTATGATACCACAAATGGATACAATCTTCTATACCACCAGCATTGTCTGGTTGCCCATTGTGCCAACGGCTGGAATAAACTCTGCGACCATTGCTCATTCACTTAAATTCACCTTCAGTTCCGAAATCATTGCCAGAAGTCCAGACGCTTACCTTATTAGTAGCAGTTACTCATAGAATGATAATATTAATAATAAATTTATGTCAATTGATTTTACTCACAACTGGTGATAATTTCACGTATATAATCAAATTCTTCATCCGAATCAATACTTATCAATTCCATATTGTATTGCTTACAAGCTAGATAAGCATTATGCCAGTTCAACTAAAATTAATTAATAAATATAATAAAAATAGTAAATTTATAAAGGAAGTAATTACCTTATTAACTTCAAAATAGTAAGTTTTGTTGCCATAAGTTGTAATCACTGGTATATTAAGAGGTGTCTCAACGCAAACACCTATATTCGCATCAAGGACATCTAAAGGTAAACATTTATTATATGTATTCAATATTTATATCTAGACCTACTTAATTGATAACAATGTGAATATTGAAAATAAATAATAAATGTAAAGAGCGTTATTATAATTTAAGAAATCATCATCGAACTGTTCGATGTTATAGTGACTGAATAATGTAAACCAAATGAGTCTTATCTTATCTATTAGGAATAAGCAAATGATATCTATATCAAGGTATGTTCAAAAAAACTTTACTTTTCCCACGCGCCCAAGAAATCGATTACATCAGGGGTTCCCAACCTTTTTCGATTTTCGGCGCCCTTGTTATATCAGAATTTTTGCGCAGCGACCCAAGTCAAAACATTGGTCAATTTCAGAACGAACTTTAAATTAATACATCAGAATTCTTGAATTTCGTGGCTCACAGTTTAGAAACCGCTGGTGTACATAATAAACTCTCCGGTTACATTAACTAATTCTATCACTAAAGTTAAGCAAATCTATTTACATAATCACATATTATATTTTTTATATAAAAGCGTGCTACTATGCAATAGATTGTGATAATATTATATTCAAAATTTTAAAAATAATATTAGTAACATCAAAGAATAAATATTTCATTTATATAAATACACATTACAAATAATATAATATTCATAAAATGTTATGTTTGTACTATATAATTTACAATCAAATAAACAGATATTAAACATTACTCAATACAAATAATGTTAGTGTAATCCAAATTTAGTTAATATCACATTATTATTGAACACTTCTTCTCTAATAGCTCTGCTGACTGCTGCAATATGATTTCTGAATACTTTGACAAATGAATGACATATTGTTAGCGTAGTTGGAATCGTTAAGTAAATATATATTGTTAAGATACCATAAGTGAGATACTATCTTCTATACTACCAGCATTGGAGGGTTGCCCGTTGTGCCAACGGCTGGAATAAATTATAATATAATAAAATTAAGATATAGGAAATAAATACCTTGTTGCCATTAGTCAGTGATTCCCAAAATGGTCTATATCGACCCCCAGGGGTCTATGACAACCTGCAAGGGGTCTACGTCAGCGAAAAAAATTTGGAGGTCCTTGAAATGAAAATGGGGGTCCACGATAAGGATGTCAACATACACTGATAGTACCTATTTACTTATATTATACTATCTTATAATATAAAAACATATACATTATTTATAAAAGTACCTATGAAGTAAAATTACTTTTATAAATGAAACTTTATTATACAGAGTGGTCCAACTTCAACTGACAGATGTAAAATACATATAACTTTTGTAATTATTTATTGGTTTTTCTATTTTTAGATGAGAGTATAGTTTATAAGTATTTTTCTGATGTAAGTGTGGAAAATAATATCATTTAAATAACCTCCATTTTCTTGTTGAAACGTAATAACTCTTTCTAATGCATTTTTGGCTCCAAATTTGTTATTTCATTATAAATATTTTATTTTTATGATTTATTGTTTGTGGTTTATTCTGGTATACCGTCCCAATAAAAAAATCTTAGCGATATTCTGGAGATGCCTAACTGAGTAGCACGTCGACGAGACACAAATGGATCTTCGGTGACACTCTGTCGTACAGCCACCACAGCTTCTTCATTGCGAACTGTACGATTGACATTTCATCGTTGATACTGTACCCCGTTCCTAAAATCCGCTGATTAAATTTCTTATCACATTTGCACTGGGAGCTGTTGAAACATTAAAATGCGCACGGTATTATTTTGTGTGTTTAAACAATACATCGTCGGGAAATATTATAAAATTCTATAATTTTGACCAGTTCTTGCATTTCTTAAAATTATTTATAATTTAGAATAAAAATAAATTTAAAAAAATGAAAAACTCAAAAGTTATATTTTTTTTTAAACAGTGTGTCTGTATTTTGCCACACCCTAGTTGATTAACAATTTATAATCTTGTCATCACTGATTCAAAGAAGATTACGTTTTATTACTAAACATAAGAAACTTTTCTCATTGTATATATATATTTATTGAGTTTATTAGATTACAGTACAACAATATTTAATCTATGAATGATAATGTTTCATTAGATGCATTTAATATTTTATTAAATATAATATAGATACAAACATGATCGAGATGTTACAATTAAAATTGTATTATTGTTGTGTTACCACCACTAACAGCTCTTCTGAGCGCTGCTACAAGATTTCTTAATACTTTGACAAATAAATGACATATTATCAGCGCACTTGGCATCGTTAAGTAAATATATATTGTTAAAATACCAGAAATGGATACAATCTTCTATACCACCAGCATTGGTGGGTTGCCCGTTGTGCCAACGGCTGGAATAAACTCCGCGACCATTGCTCATCCACTTATATTCACCTTCAGTTCCCAAATCATTGCCAGAAGTCCAAACGCTTACTTTATTAGTGGCAGTTACTTACAGAAAGATAATATTAATAATAAATTTAAGAAATGTCAATTGATTTTACTCACGACTGTTGATAAATTCACGTATATAATCGAATTCTGCATCCGAATCAATAGTTATCAATTCCATATTGTATTGCTTACAAGCTAAATAAGCATTATGCCAGTTCATCTAAATTCAATTAATAAATATAATAAAATAAAATTTAGAAAATTATAAAGAAAATAATTACCTGATTATTAACTTCAAAATAGTACGTCTTGTTGCCATAAGTAGTAATCACTGGTATATTAAGAGGTGTCTCAACGCAGACATCTGTATTAGCAGCAACGACATCTAAAGCTAAATATTGATTATATGTATTCAATATTTATATCTACACATACTTAATTCACAGCAATGTGAATATTGGAAATAAATAATAAAAGTAGAGAGCGTTATTAAAATTAATGGAATCATCTTCGAGTTCGATGTTACAGTGACTGAATAATGTAAACCAAATGAGTCTTATCTTATCTATTAGAAATATGCAACTGATATGTATATAAGGGTAAGTTCAAAAAAACTTTACTTTTCCCACGCGTCTAAGAAATCGTTCACATCAGGGGTTTCCAAACTTTTTCGGTTTTTGGCGCCCTTGATATATCATATTTTCTCCGCGGCGCCCCAAATCAAAATATTGGTCAATCTCAGAGCGAACTTTAAATTAATATATCAGAATTCTTGCATTTCGTGGAGCACATTAACTAATTATATCACTAAAGTTAAGTAACTCGTTTATTTATAGGTTGGAGACTTGTGATTCATGTTATATGTATTGAATTCTTTTAGTTAGTGTATTTACATAAACATATATTATATTTTTTATATAAAAATGTGCTACTATTGATTGATTTTTATAATATTATATTCAACATTTTAAAAATAATATTAGTAACATCAAAGAATAAATAATTAATTTATATAAATACAAATTACACATAAAATTAATTGTTTAGTTCTACCATATAATTTACAATAAAATATACATTATTTAATACGTTTTATTAATACGTATAAAAAATATTTCAAATCTATAATATATATTAAATTAGTATAGGATTTGACGAGCAACCACTGCAGCTACCTAAGTAGCAACGTGAGATTTCTAGGAATTCTTCATGCTTTTTTAGTTTGTGAAGTACGGAGTTGTTGGTCTATTTTTAAAGTGAATCAGAGCCCGATTTTCTTCTTCAATATATCTCCTTCCTCATCTTTTTACCATGGAACAGCTCGCACTGTGGATGCACTTGGGATATTGAATTCCGCCGCATAGGTAAAACAACTGGGTAGTTCCTCCAGAGTCCGGTTTATGAAGTTTGAGCGAGTATATCCAGAGTAACCCATCTAGTCCGAGGAGACAAAACGCAAACGTTTGTATGTTATACGAAGAAATCTAAAAGTCAACGAGATCAGAATAGGGAAGAGATAACTTTCATTCAAGCAATCGAAAACAGAATGTTTGTGCGGTTCCATAACTCAGAAGATGGATAAATCAATGGTCGAAAATTTACCGCTATGAACGCTAGTTTGTCTCTGATTCATCGACATGCGGATTCCCATAAGTGGCCGTGGGCATTAAAATTCCCAATATGAGGTAGTTAAGAGGTTTAGAACAACGGTCACCAAACTTTTTGATCTCACGGACTACTAAAATCAAAATTTGTAATTCCGCGCACCATGGAACGATACATACACTTGTTTTTGCATTGGGTTTTTTTTTATAAAATAAGGCAAAAATTACAAAAAAGTAGAATTAGAATTTAGAAATACAAAAATTGCAAATATATTCAAATTACTCTGCGGACAAACAAAATTCTCTCGTAAACAAAAAAAGATCGCACGAAATAAATGAAAAATCACAGATTAGACTGTGATTTTTCATTTATTTCTGTATTTTATCGTTTTTTAAGAAATATAGTAACCATAGATTACAAGTAACTTGCTCTGCAATAATTTGCCAGTCGGGATTAGGGGTATTGGTCTCTCATGCTCTATTTGATATACGAGTGCTTTGTATTAAATGCACTTTTCCGGAACGTATTATACTCGCAAACGAAAGTTCCACTGTATTTTTATTAACTATATATAATTAAATAAAAGCCTTTTATTCCGCCTTTTATACGCCTCTAGAGTTACAAATATATATTCATGAAGTGCTTGTATTTTGCCATACCCTAGATTGTCAACATCACTGATTGAAAGAAGATTAGTTTTTATTACTAAACATAAATAAATTTTCCCATTTTATTTATATATATTGAGTTATTGCATTAAAGTACATTAATAATTAATCTATGAATGATAATGTTTGATCAAATGAATCTAATATTTTAATAAATATGATAATAATATAAACATGTTTAAGATAATAGAAATTAAAATAATAAAATTGCTGTGTTACCACCACTAACAGCTCTGCTGACCGCTGCAACATGATTTCTTAATACTTTGACAAATGAATGACATATTGTTATCACAGTTGGAATCGTTAAGTAAATATATATTATTAAGGTACCACAAATGGATACAGTCTTCTATACCACCAGCATTGTCGGGTTGCCCGTTATGCCAACGGCTGGAATATACTCTGCGACCATTGCTCATCCACTTATATTCACCTTCAGTTCCCAAATCATTGCCAGAAGTCCAGACGCTTACCTTATTAGTAGCAGTTACTTATAGAAATATAATATTAATAACAAATTTATCAAATACAATTTGATTTTACTCACGACTGTTGATAAATTCACGTATATAATCGAATTCTGCATCCGAATCAATAATTATCAATTCCATATTGTATTTCTTACATGCTAAATAAGCATTATACCAGTTTACCTAAAATTATTTAATAGATATAAACAAAATAAGAAAATTGTAAATAAAATAATTACCTGATTATTAACTTCAAAATAATATGTCTTGTTACCATAAGTTGTGATAACTGGTATATTAAGAGGTGTCTCAACGCAAACATCTTTATTCGCATTAACGTCTTCTAAATCTAAACATTAATTTTATGTATTAAATTATGTATATATATATATAACAGAATGCGGGATATAACAATATTTTTAGAGGAATGGTCGGGTATAGAATATAATACACTTGCTGCCAACTGTGTAATAAGAAGAGTTAACAGTACGTAGTTGATAGTTAATATGCAAGTTTTGTACCATCCAAAATAAATTTTAATTAATTAATTCCGGCGTTAAGAGGTTAAATTTAAATAAATATACATGCACTTACTTAATTGACAACAATTTGAGTATCGTATATAAATAATAAATAAAATGAGTGCAGCTAATTTTGAAGAAATCATCTTCGAACTGTGCGAGGTTATACTGAATGAATAACGAATTGATTCTTATATTTATCTGCTCGGAATTTCCAAATGAGATTTACAACCAGGTACCGGTTATTCGTGTACTTAAAAAAATACCTTTGTTGTGCATCGTAAAATTACTTCAATAAATGAAGCAACTATAATATTAAATCTGCAATAAATACAAAATGTACTTGTTGTTCGTTCAAGGCCATTTTTACCTGTTATACTTGACTTGAAATATTAACAAAATTATTTAAATCTCTCGAAAGATACTTATCTCATTTATTTATATGGTTGAAACATGATTTACATTACTTTTCTTGAATTCCTAAATATTGAGTAATAAAGAAAACATATTTTGTAAAAAAATATATGCTTTTGAATCCAATTGATTAAGATTATTCAGAGATCTTATAGAAATATCAATAACATCATTTTCTTTAACAAACTCTTCTAACGAATTCTTTATTGAATGCATTTGCACATAATTTACGAAGTTTTGCTCCAAGCCATCCCGTCTTGACACACTTTATATGTGTTACATTTTAAGATTCGTAGGTCTGTTACTCTTTTGGTGTTTTTTTTTATTGATCATTGTTGTAATCTTTATATTGTAAACAAAAATGATTTATTTTGGAAACACCAAGTGAGTTTAAACCTACATTCAAGTAATATTTGTCACTTATATATATTCCATTTTTTATGTTGTAATAAATAAAAAAATGTATAACAAAATACCATGAAATAAGTGATATAAGCTTAAAATTGCTTGATTTTACTAAAAAGTACCACATATTTTTTGTTTTTTTGAAAATATTGCTGAAATTTAATGTAAATGCATAAGCAACTTAATTTTATAAATAAATAAATCCAAAAAATATTTTAAAATTTTAACTATGTTCAGGTTAGCTTGATAATAATTTTAGAACTAAAATAATTAATTAATAATATTCTAAATTCGTTTCATATGTTATATTTTTCATTCAATTAGATATACGTTTAAAATTTATTATTGATAAGTTTCTTCTATTAATGTATATAGGAAAACTAATTAGGAATTTTGAATAGTGAGCGCTGGTATTATATACAGAAAGCAATATAATGCATTATGCAACTGTAAAATATTATTAGTAATAATTTTGTTTACAAGCCACAAAAAATATTGCAAAACTGATTAAACGTGAACTGAACGCACTATTAATTCAATTTAATATAGATGAAAAACTAATACATGTTTTCTATGACATTTCTCAAATATCATCAATATTGTGAATTTCATTTTTTACGAAATGATAAATAAATAATTTAATCATATTCATAATTTCTATCATATTCAATAAAATAATTTGGTTTTGATGTTAACATTTACTATCCTTATTGCTGATGCAATAAATTCTTTAGATAGCTTGGCAAATGTAAGTCTTTTTTCCGTGCATTGAGCATCATCATTAATTAAATATATATTTCTATGGCAAACGATATCTATACAATGCTGTACTTTTTCAGCATTATTGGGTTGATTCTTGTGCCAACGGTTGGAATCATCATCCACAAATATTCTCCTTCGGTTACCAAAACTGTACCAGAAGTCCACACCGGTACCCGATTGCTTGTAACTGAATATTCAAATTAAATAAATAACATTAATTATTTTCATCCAAGCTACAAATTTGATGCGTACCGCTATTGATAAAATCACGAATATGATCATATTCTGCATCCGAGTCGATAGTTAACAAGTCCATATTGTATTGTTTACAAGCCAAATACGCATTGTACCAATTTATCTGCAACATATATTAATATTATATAAATCAGAAATTAAATAATATTTAATTACTTAAAACTTATCATTTTGTTGACTTCTAAGTAATAAATTTTGTTACCGTAATTTGTGACAATTGGTATATTGATTAATTTCTCAGTGCATATTTCCACGTTGACATTGAAATCATCTAAGGAATTTTTTTTTTGATATTGAAAACATAGGTAAACATAGAATAAAAAGTTAGCATTAAAAGAAATATTAGTACTGAACGAATCATTTTGGGTGTTTATCTTGAACAGTGAAATATGGATGTCTGTATTTAAATACTTTTCTTCGAACATTTTATATAACAGTTTCATTAAATTTTGATATCAGTAATAGATTATTAATTGCAAATGATATCGCTAAAAGATTTCACTTATATTTTTATTAATTTATTATCTATTTTAATTAAATCCTTGATGTTCATTTAAAAGTAAATATTAAAGTTTAAAAACATCAATTTCTTGCTAAATGTTTAGAAATTTTCTAATCATATACGTATTTCAAACGTAATATAAATTACATTAAATATCTCGGTGTCACGGGATTAATAATCTCTTGACACCTTGGATTATGTTGTAGATATGTGGGTCTAGGGTTTTTGAATATGAAATAAAAATATTTTTTGTATTGTATAGCTGTGGATTTCCTTCTACAATGCGGAAGGTCCCACGAGTGGGATTCTTCTAATTTACAGTGCCATCTTGAAATCCTGACAATTTTTCTACTAAGGTTTTATGTACCTTAAGAAATATTTAAAGCGTTCATAGTGTTGAATATCTCTATTGTGAACTTTTATTAGAATTATTAATGTTTTGTACGAAGGACCAAGTTGCGCGTTGGGGTTTTCAAGATGGCGTTTATTTACTACATCTTACACATCGTTTAAACTATACTTAACTAATACTATTCTAATAATGCTTAACTAATAATAGTGTCTAACTAATAAAAAAGAAAATATGATAAAAATTATATAAAATTTAGATTCATCTATGTAGAATTAAATTTCTTTCGAAATTAATGTCTAAAACCATACATATTAAAAAGATATTTAGAAATAAAAAGTTTTTTGTCAATAAGTTACTTTTAGTGGTGAGGGGAGTGTGTTGCTTGTCGTAAAAATATTGTAAAATTTTAAGGGGGGCGAATATATTTTAGGATTTTAAGGGGGCTGGGATTACTAAAGGTTAACAAGGTTAATACTAGAATATCCTCAACATCAGCTATTATATTATTGAATTATTGAAATATACAAAATGTTTATTATTTTATTTAAGTAAATAATTAAAATCTTGCAAAATTACTTATTGGATCACAGACACACAGAAAATAAATAAATAGTAAATTAAACTGACATTATAGTAGTCAAATAGTTTTGCAGAAAGAGATTTTATTATTCTGATTACAAAATAATGTACAAAACAAACAAAATAATTATATATATCTAGTCTCTATTTTTTTTTTCTTTGAATCATAATAAATGAAATAGTTTAGACTTCTATCCCCTAGTTTTGTTACATATGATATAAACATGATCGAGATGTTACAATTAAAATTGTATTATTGTTGTGTTACCACTAACAGCTCTGCTGACAGCTACAACATGATTTTTTAATACTTTGACAAATGTATGACATATTGTCAGTGCACTTGGCATCGTTAAGTAAATATATATTATTAAGATACCACAAATGGATACAATCTTCTACACCACCAGCATTGTCAGGTTGCCCGTTGTGCCAACGGCTGGAATATACTCTGCGACCATTGCTCATCCACTTATATTCACCTTCAGTTCCCAAATCATTGCCAGAAGTCCAGACGCTTACCTTACTAGTGGCAGTTACTAATAGATATATTAATATTAATAATAAATTTATGAAATGTAATTTGATTTGATTTTACTCACGACTGTTGATAAATTCACGTATATAATCGAATTCTGCATCCGAATCAATACTTATCAATTCCATATTGTATTGCTTACATGCTAAATAAGCATTATACCAGTTCACCTTAAATTATTTAGATATAATACAAATAAAAAAATTATAAAGAAAATAATTACCTGATTATTAACTTCAAAATAGTAAGTTTTGTTACCATAAATTGTTATAACTGGTATATTAAGAGATGTCTCAACGCAAACATCTTTATTCGCATTAACGTCTTCTAAACTTAAACATTAATTTTATGTCTTAAATATTTATATATAGTTCCGGCGTTAAGAGGTTAAATTGCACTTACTTAATTGACAACAATTTGAGTATCGTATATAAACAATAAATGAAATGAGTGCTACTAATTTTGAAGAAATCATCTTCGAACTGTGAGAGGTTATACTGAATGAATAACGAAATCCGAATGACTTTTATATTTATGTGCTCGGAATTTCCAAAAGTTATTTGTAGCCAGGTACCGGTTATTTGTGTACTTAAAAAAATACCTTTGTTGTGCAACGTAAAATTACTTCAATAAATGAAGCAACTATAATATTAAATCTGCAATACAAAATGTATTGTTGTTCGTTCAAGGCCATTGTTTCCTGTTATACTTGACTTGAAATATTAGCAAAAAAAATTAATTGTCTCGAAAGATATTTATCCTGTAATGTAAATCATGTTTCAACACATATATTGAAACATGATTTACATTACTTTTGTTAAATTCCTAAATATTGAGTAATAAAGAAAATATTTTGTAAAAAAAAATGTGCTTTTGTATATAATTGATTAAGAATATTATATTCAGAGATTTTATAGAAATATCAATAACGTTAAAGTTATTTCCTGGGTTGAAAGACCTATGTTAATTAGTTAATTTATTTTCGTTCTATTATTGTTGTTTCATTGTTTAACCCTTTGTCGTCTGACGGCACATTTATGTCACTATTTAAATTATAAAACAGACCTAAATACTTGTTGGTATTTTAATGTAATCTTTATATTGTAAACAAAATTTTTTTTTTTTTGAAACACCAAGTGAGTTTAAACCTACATTCAAGTAATACTTGTGTATAGGTAATTTTTATGTTGTAACAAATAGGAAAATTGTATAACAAAATACCATGAAATAAGTGATATAAGCTTAAAATTGCCTGGCTTTACTAAAAAGTACCACATATTTCTTTTTTATTGAAAATATTGTTGAAATTTAATATAAATGTTAATTTTATTATGTTTTAAAATAAATCCAAAGTTTTTTTTACATTTAACTAAGTTCAGGTTAACTTGATAATAAATTTAGAACTCAAATAATTATTTCATAATATTTTAAGTTCGTATCATATATTATATTTTTCATTCAATTAGATATACTTTAAAATTTATTATTAATGGGTTTCTTCTATTAATGTATATAGGAAAACTAATTTGAAATGTTTAATGGTAAACTTAGTAAGCGCTGTTATTAACTACAGAAAATAATATCATGCATTATGCAACTGTAAAATATGTCGAATCGTCAGGATTACTCCCCGAGTGAGGCGTTTGGAGAAGCCATTATTACAAATAACCACTAACAATAGTTAATAAACTTAGTAAACTAATCCTTCTGCAATCTCAGAGCTAGTGATCTACATCAACGATAAGTCTCAGCTACTGTGGCCATCCAGTTCACCTGCCTGAATCTGCATCTTGAATGTGAAAATGAATCCATTCCCGCTGATCCTTCGGCTGACGTATTCCACTCCCACTCCTCCGGGGGAAATACCCTTCTTCCCTGAAGACCCCGAAGATGTGCTGCCCCGATCATGCACACGTGTCCGTCCTTGTTCTCCCAAGTGCTGACAATGTTATTTGGCAGAACTATTGTTTACACGCTCCAGCGTGGAAACAATGACTCTTTGTATCTCTGCCACGTGTGGACTACGATGTTTGGTCAGGTGCTGTTGTCTTAGATACTCCGACAAATATAAATAGTAATAATTTTGTTTACAAGCCACAAAAAATGTTGCAAAACTGATTAAACGTGAACTGAACGGACTGTTAATTCAATTTAATGTAGATGAAAAACTAATACATGTTTTCTATGACATTTCTCAAATAACATCAATATTTTGAATTTCATTTTTAAATGTTATATATGTATTTTCTGTCATATTCACTAAAATAATTTGGTTTTAATGTTAACACTTACTATCCTTATTGTTGATTAAATAAATACTTTTGATAGCTTGGCAAATGTAAGTCTTTTTTTCCGTGCATTGAGCATCGTTAATTAAATATATATTTTTGTGGTAAACGATATCTATACTTTTTCTGCATTATTGGGTTGATACTTGTGCCAACGGTTGGAAATGATTTTGCGACCATTGCTCATCCACAAATATTCTCCTTCGCTTCCCAAATCTGTACCAGAAGTCCACACCGGTACCCGATTACTTGTAACTGAATATGCAAATTAAATAAATAACATTAATTATTTTCATCCAAGCTGCAAAATTCATGCGTACCGCTATTAATAAAATCGCGAATATGATCATATTCTGCATCCGAGTCAATAGTTAACAAGTCCATATTGTATTGCTACAAACCAAATACGCATTGTACCAATTTATCTGCAACATATATTCATGTTATATAAATCACAAATAAATCAATATTTAATTACTAGAAACTTACCATTTTGTTGACTATGAGTAATAAGTTTTGTTACCGTAATTTGTGACAACTGGTATATTGATTGATTTCTTAGTGTATATTTCCATGTTGACATCGAGATCATCTAAGGAATATTTTTTTTTGATATTAAATATATTACATGTAAAATTTCTAACTTAGTTCGCATCCATCGGTAAACATAGAATAAAAAGTTAGCATTAAAAGAAAGATTAGTACTGAACGAATAATTTTGGGTGTTTATCTTGAACAGTGAAATCTGTTTGTATTTAAATACTTTTCTTTGAATATATTATATACCAGTTTAATTAAATTTTGATAACAGTAATAGATTATTAATTAATTCCTCGAGCTAAGCGTTCTACGCCAACTTCATGGTGTACATTGTTGCCACCTTTCACAACCATGGTTGCGCTCAAACAATTATATTTTTTTAAGTTTTAATATCTGTACAATCTAGGTTTACGATTTCTACACAATAATAAATATACTATTATTTGCATATTTTTCAAGATATATTTTAATTACTGACAATTTGATAAAGCAATTTTTGTTCATTGTTTTTCTAATCTGTGCGAAAAATTTCCATGCAATGTCTGGTTGCCTTTATAACATCTATATGTTTATAAAGTAGCTTGTTTAGGTGAGGGGAGGGTGTTGCTTGCCGCAAAAATATTGTAAAATTAGGGGGGACCGGAACTACTAAATGGTTAACAACCAAGGTACTGTGTCGTGTCCCAGGGTTTAAAATGTGTCGTGTCCGTGATTATGAAATCTTGGACACCTGAGAATTATCCGTAGTTATATCGTTGTGGAGTCTTAGAGGGGTTTATGAAATAT